CGTGATCTGCGTCGGCGGGCATATGGGCATTCTCGACAACTGCAACATCGGCAGGTTGCCTCGCGATGGGTGTACCCAGCCAATCTGCCAGGTCCACCTCACTGTGGCCAGTGAATATCTCCTCGAACAGCTCATCGGCATCGTTCTCGAAGGACAGACTGGCACTCAGATATCTAGCAGCTATGAAGTTAGCAACTGCAACTGAGCTGTCGGCAGGGTCGGCTAGAAGTGTCTTCCAGTCGACATACTACATGTCCGAATGAGTTTGAACCAAATGTACCGACGGACATCTGCCTCCCCCATCGCCCTGAGGGCACTCGCGGCGAACATGTAGTGTGCTTTGGCATATGTCACGCTCCGTTGCTTCACCGTTAGCATCTTTCGGGTTGCCCCGACGCCCCTTACCATTTCCTGAAGTGAGCCTACGGCCCCTGCTTGCGCCTAGGAACGTCTCTCATATTGCGTACCAGTAAGGGGTGCTAGACATGCTGGCATGTTTCTGCCATACAATCGCCGCGTTTTACCGTTGCCCTTGCTGCGACCCTTACCCTTCCCCCTGATTGCCCGTCGGATAATGCGTCGTACCTTGCGGCCTGGCTTCTTCATAAACCGTCTCCACCTTCGTTAATGCTTCTGATATCATAAGAATAACCATGGCTCCTGTCGTTCTTCCGCGAGGTACGTGGGCATGTCGGAGTAGTCTAGGGCGGTGACCTCATCGTCCGAAGACGTGTCAGCATCGGTTCCAGAGTCGAAGTCGGACTCGGCAGGTTGCCCCGCCGAGCCCAGTAGGGTAATGGCTTGAGTAGGGGCCGCCGTATCTGGCGGCCCCCGAAACCTGACCCGGGAGTCTTGCAAACCCAAAGCCGAACCACCATTTGAATCAATCGTGTGGCGGCCTCCGCTGGTTGCGGATCGTCATTCCAGACGGTGGTAGCAATTCGCCCTGCGTTAGCCTCAGCGTGAAAGGTCTCGGTGCAGCGACCTTGACTGAAGATACCACCAATATTGCCAGGGGCTCTCTCAGCGATGTGGACATGTGACCTCATACGTTCGAGTAGCGTCAAATTGTTGCTGGTCCCTCGGCATGTGGTGGTTTAGTGGCTGTAGGAGTTCTTGTGCACGCGACGCCCCCACTCCTGAGGCTCTGAATAAGATGACTGCTAGTATTTGGAAGTTGGGGATTTTGAAGCCTACTGTTTCAGGCTCGTAGCGGGCTATCTGGAAGCGTGCCAAAATCTGGTCGACCCGTTCTCCCGCGTGGTCTCGAACATCCATGAGAGCAGTGCCAGAGATAAGTTGGCGTTCCTCTTCTAGGTTCTCGAACTTCGTACTATAGAAGAAAATGATGTACGCGGCGCCATCGGTATGGCGGCCACGTATGGTAACGCCGGAATGGATGACTGCTGGGGGAACTCGCATGGGTATGGTCCGCGAGAGGCCTCCCAAACCACGCTGCAATGCTGCAGCCTGTGGGAGGGCGCCATGGTGCCTGTGGTCACGTTGATCCAGGCATACACCTCGCGAGCGAATTCGCTGAAAAAAAAAGTACTTGGCCGGCCGGGTCCCAATGGGGGCCGGCTACTTTTGCGTCGTCTCCGCCACGCATGTGTCCCACCGCACACCGGATAGCAACCCCTATGAGCCCAATGAAAACTATACCCATCCAGTGGCCTCGTAGGTCGTCGTCGGATGTGTCTGGTTGGGGTTTGTGGTGTGTGGTCGTAAGCCTGCGTGGGGGTGGACGCGGCACAATGTCGCATTCCATGGTTTCCAACATTATGTATTCGACAAATTTCCAATTTCAGTAGGTGGAGTAGGTGGGTGGACGTCAGGAGTGTAGTAGCGCAGGGATGTAGGGCTCGAGCAATGGGCCTCTGCGTAGGCAAAGGCATCACTGCAAGCATCCTTGCTGGATTGCGTAGTGCGTACATTCCTCCGCGCAAACGCACTGCACCCTGATGATCCACCACATCAGTAGTCCACCGGATAGTGCCATGGATGGTGAGGAGTAGAGCAAGAGCTGACCACCATAGGCCAGCTCCGCTACCAAGTTTGAAGGGGGCCGGTAGGCCCGACCAGAAGCTTCGCCTCAGGCGAAGCCCAGCTCCAGCTCTGTTGTACCGTAGTAATGACAGTCCCAGCAAAGGATGTGTTGATCTCGATGGCCAATGGTACACCTCGCGCTGCGGTGAAGTCAGATCTGGGCGGCCGGCTGCTTGAGCCCAAACGCCCGCGGACACACGCTCGTTATCTCTCGTCTGTAACCCAGCTCGCTTTAGAGTCACCATCCTGCGTCATGCTTTCGCAATTATGAAAACATAATGTGTTTGGTTGTGCAGATGTCAAACGATGAGGCACGCTGACAAACGATTTGAAATCCACATGCGTTGGCTAGAAAATTGCCAGTGGTTGTGTGGCAACATTTCCGCTATCCCGGGTGCGAATGCTTCTGCGTATCCGAAAACATCCGGTTACAAGAGTCAGGATTTTCAGGAAGAGGTTACGAGGCTCCAAAATACGATGTAGGTTTAGGGCATGGATGTAAAGAACAACTTAAGCTGCCCAGGCCTCACCAACTTGTAGCAAGATAATATATCTCTATTCCCTGCCTAGGCTCTGCCTAAAGGGTTCTTATCATATTTCTTAAAAGGCGGGACAGTGTAACTCGCCCCGGGCGAGTCCCCCGGCATCCGCCCCGCGGTTCCTCCAGCTACGTCCCCTTAGCTTACCGTTGCTGATGTCATCTTAGTTTAGCTTATCTCATCCTAGCTTAGCTTAGCTTCTCTTAGCTCGGGTATCTTAGCTTAGCTGGCCTTCATCATAGCTTCGCTGAGCTCTATCATAGCAGGGCACCGCATAGCGTAGCATAGCAAAACATAGCGCAGCACAGCATATCATAACATAGCCCAGCATAGCACAGCATCGCGCATCATAGCATAGCATAGCATAGCATAGCATAACATAGCGCAGCACAAAGCAGCACAACACAGCGCAGCATATCACAGCATAGCAGAGCATAGCAGCAAAGCATAGCATCGTATATCATAGCATAGCTTAGCATAGCAGAGCTTAGCTTAGCTTATCTCATCTTAGCTTAGCTTAGCTTAGCTTGTCTTAGCTTAGCGTAGTTTAGCACAGCTTACCTTACTTTAGCATAGCTGAGCTTGGCCTAGCCTAGATTCGCTTAGCTAAGCTTAGCATAGCTTAGCCTACCTTAACTTAGCCTAGCGCAGCGCAGCATTAGCACAGCACAGCACAGCACAGCCAAGCATAGCATAGCTCAGCATAGCTCAGCATAGCATAGCATAGCATAGCTGTGTGTCTGTGCGCAGGCAAAGCAAAACCAAAATCAAGCAACAACAAAACAAACGCAACGCACAAAATCATCATCGAAAGCAAAAACAAAAGCAAAGGCAAACGCAAAAGCAAAGGCACGAGCAAAAGCAAAGGCAATGCAAAAACAACACCAATGCGAAAGTGTAGATGTAGATGTAGATGTAGGTGTAGGTGTATATGTGGATGTAGGTGTAGATGTATATGTAGGTGAATGTGTAGGTGTATATGTAGACGTAGGTGTGAGTGTCGCAGTGAAGGTTGATGTAGATGTAGATGCTGGTGTAGATGTAAATGAAGCAGTCGGTGTGGATGTTGCTTTCCGAAATGCTCCAACTCCTAGGTAGGGTCGCACTGGGATAATTAGATCTCAAATGGGTTCCAATAGTTCCTCTTGGATACCACAAGAATAACAATAGGACGCCGGTCGGAGCACAACATGAGTGAAAGAGGACACGCTTTTGTTGAATAACACTTGGTTCCTGGTGGGATCCCAGCAGTATGCCCGTATGGGTCGAGATGGATGGATCCGGATTGTATTCCAATGCGATATCCTTCGTATTCGCCAATATGGTTCTGACGGGATCCCAGGACGTATCTTATTGTTTTCGAATGAGAACACACAAGAATACCCACCCGCTTTCCACGTAGTACCCCCAGCGCGCTTCCCGCAGCATTCCAATGGGAAGGCCTCTCGATTGTAAGCCCTCGGAGTTTCCAATCGGTTTCCATTAGAAAGGGCCCCGACGGGTTTCTATAGGAAGCATCCCCATCGGATTCTCACTGGACACACGTAGGCCCCATATCGAGAAATCTCTTTGGATACCCGTGAACGGGGTTCAGCTGGTGCCAACAGGATCCCAGTGGGAAGGGTGCCAATGGGATTCGCATCGGACTCTCGCTGGATCCCATTAGGAGCCCGCCACTTCGCAAATTCTCGCTTCAGATGGGTCACTTTACAACCAACGCGCTTCAGAGAGTGAAGTGTCTCCTTTACTTGCGTCCACGGAGATTTCGGAAATTGGAGAACATGTGCCGCTCGTGTGCGTTTACTCGCCTGGTTGTAAAAGTGGCCTTCCTGGTTGCAAAGCGCCCATCTGAAGAACCCCGTGCTGGTTGTGAAGTGCCCAATCTTTGACGGGCAAAGAACGGTATGACATATTTTGAGTCCGCCGTCGGGGGCGCCTGTCCCAGGGCGGCTGGAAAGTTTATACCCCTACGGTGCCACCGTAAGGGTATAAACTTCCCGGCCGCCCTGGGACAGGCGCCCCCGACGGCGAAACAAAATATTTGATACCCTTCTTCGCTCGCTGAAAAGTGGCCAACGAGAAGGGTTCCTTCCTCAGGGCCCCGACAGTACACCCCCCCCCCCTGCGCGTGGCCGAGAGGCAACCACAACAAAAACCTCGGGACGGCCGTTTGCGCGTCGCTCTCGGCACGCCTGGAGGCCGCCCCCCGGCCCCGGGGCCACAAGGGACAGCCGTAGAACTCGGGAGGGAGCTTCTCCCCCGGGGCAGGGGTCGAAGCCGCGGCCGGCCGCCGGCGCGACACAAGGATCCGACGTCGGAGAGGCAGGGTTCCCACCTCGAGTCGTTCTCTGAGGAACACAGGACAGGTCGTCTGCCGAGGGTCACGCAGCAGGCCCACGTCGGAGAGGCAGGGCCCCCACCTCGAGCCGTTTTTTTCTGACGATCACGGGACAAAGGGGCCACTGTGGGCCGAAGGCTGCGGGCCTTCTCAGAAGTGCGCGCCGCTGGACCTGGCAGCGCTGCGGGGCAGAGCTGGCCCGGGGGCCTAGTGGCCGCCCGAGCCCTCGAGGAAGGCCTCCGCCCCAGCTTCCTCCACGTCAAAAGAGTCAGAAGGAAGAAACGGCCGCGCCCCCGGCGTGAGGATATCACGAGAAGGGGGGGCGAGGTCAGGGCAAAAATACGAGCAGCGGGAGTGGTGCTGACGACGAAAGGGAGGAGGGAAGGGGAAAGAATGGAAGACGGGAGGTCGGCTCAGCTGGCGATCGCGACCGAGACCGGCTCGTCAACCTGCACGCTGGTCCCGGACGGCTTAAGCAGCGAAATCGTGGTGCGGCATTCCGCTGGGATCCTCGCTGCATCTGTATGGTCATCTTCTCCCAGTAGCCCTCCGACGGCAAAGCCGGCATGCCCAAGGTGTTTGACGAAGACGTTCAAGTACTGAATCCCCGTCTCCGTGCGCCCGAGGACGACTTTGACCTCCAGCGGCCCGAAATTTGTCCATTTCGGCACCTCGTGGCTCTGAACGCCTTCGGCGTTGAAGGTGAAACCCCCGGCCTTCAACTTGTCCGCCCATACCCCTGTGATGTTCACTTCCTGGAAATACGTGTCGGCACAAGATCCACCATGGCGACGCACGTCTGCTTCTACCGCAAGCAGCGCGTCCTCCACGCGCCTACCACGTGGGATGTTGACCAATGTAACCTTACCCGGCGTCATCAGGTCGAACCGTTCACCGTGGATGTTTTGCAGGTGCGGATCGCCAGTGGCCGTCGCCGAGGTCGGCGGAGTCGCCGCCGACGTTGGCGCCGGCGTTGGCGCCTCAGTCGGCGAAGGCGTCGGGTTGAGCGTCGGGGACGAGGTCGGACTGGAGGTCGGACTGGAGGTCGGACTGGAGGTCGGACTGGATGTCGGACTGGAGGTCGGGCTGGGCGTCGGCGAAGGCGTCGGAGCGCTACAGGATGCCTGCGATCCACCGCCATATTTCTGGAACTTGAAAAAGTTACTACTGTCATCGCAAACCTCCACCCTGTACCAGAAATTTACGTGACTGCCCGTCTGCAGGCACAGGTTAGTGCCCTTGACTTGCAGAAGGAACCACGACGGATCGGATGCGATTGGCACTGTGCACCAAGCGCTGGATGAAGCGCACGGGCGGATGAGGGCTACCTGCCCTTCTCCTTCATTGTTCAGGCAATAGCCGCTATTGAGATCTTCGAGTAAATCATCGCTCCGCAGTGTCCACCTGTCATTTGTATGAGGACAATACCAATTGTGCAAATCCATCCCACTGTACGGCCAGCCACCATCGCCGTCGAGGCAGTAACCCGATTGAGACTTCACACTTATCTGCGAATAGGTGAACCACGTCCTGGAAATCGCACTTGGGGTCGAGAAACTGCTGTTGTCCACAGACGCCTGCTTCCCACCGTCGGCACCCTGGAGCCCGGTCTGAATTGCCCCCGCGCTGGGGATGCCTGGGATGAGCAGGAGCCACACATTCTGAAGCTGGCTGGCGCGATACATGGGTCCGCGCGACCGCCAAACGAGAGTTCGTGCAAGAGAAGAGTTGTTGAGGTTGGGTGAGCCGTCGGACGGCGCAAGTGGCAAGAAATCAGAGGCCTCGATTGAGGGCGCCTTGAGCCAAAATGGCAGCAGGGAGCGGCAAGCCGGAGCGGCGATGCGCGGCGGACGAGGTCAGCGCGGATGCTACCATCCCCGTCCTCCGCTGGAGGATCGAGGAAAGAAGTCTCCGGCGACGGTGAGGAGGGCATCCTGGACCTCCAGAGGCCTCCGAGGCCCTCCGAGGACCTCCGAGGTGCTCGTTCTGGGGATCTTCCCGGAGTCACTCGCTCCACGCGGATGCGGCGTCGAACGTCCTTCGAAGTGGAGTCGAGCCGGAGCAGATCATCTAGTCAGAGTCGAAGCAGGGCCTTCCCAGAGTCGAGCAGATCCGTGGGACGCCGAATATGGAACTGAACGGCTTTTCTGGCCCCCACGAGCCTCGGCCACAACCCAAACTTCGACCACGACCCCAACGGCCCGGAAACTCGAGCCCCGCACGAGGCCAAAAGGGGTCCTTCTGTCAGTGTCCTGACTGTGCACGCTACAGAAAATACAAACAAAACATCAACTAGACAAATGTAGCGAACCCGTCATCGCCCACCTCCAGTCTCCCATTGCTCCGATGATGTTTGCGGAAGTACCTGGAGGTACTCGGCTTCCAGAAGCCAACAGACAACAGAGAACACTCACGCGCCTCGATCCTCAACCCTCCTCCTCGTCCTCGCTGGAATGCCCGCCCCCCCCAAACAATTACGCTACCGAGGAACCCCACATACTTAATTTAAATATTGTGTGTTTGCTTACTCCAGATTTCGTAATAAAAGGGAGGGGGTCTGGACCCTCCAAGACAAGCCATTTCAGACCCGCCCCCCGTGGGAGAACCCTCCAAAACATCGTCCCCAGACCACCCCAGGCCCTCCAAGATAGTCTGGAAGAGACCCCCCCCCGAAATGAGACCCCCCTCCCTTTATTACGAAATCTGGAGTAAGTTTATAATATATGTGCAAATCTGCGTTCTCAGCCCTTGTCGCGAATGTTCCCCTATGTGTCATCCGACGCCATATTGCTTGAACCTCCTCCCTCTTCCTACCCTTCTATCCTCCGTCGAGGACAGATTCGAGCCAGCCAGCGGCCGCGGTGAGGGACCACCCCCTGCGCACCCTCTATGGTGTCGAGAAAGTGCCACGCCTGCTATGCCCTGGACGACCGTCGCGCATAGCGGCCGCGGTGAGGGACCACCCCCTGCGCAGCCTCTATGGTGTCGAGAAAATGCCGCGCCTGCTATGCCCTGGACGACCGTCGTGCATAGCGGCCGCGGTGAGGGACCACCCCCTGCGCACCCCCCATGACGTCGAGAAAGTGCCACGCCTGCTATGCCCTGGACGACCGTCGTGCATAGCGGCCGCGCTGAGGGACCACCCTCTTCGCACCTCCTGTGGTGTCGAGAAAGTGCCACTCCTGCCACGATCTGCGAGCGTGTCACGGATAGAGGCCGCGCTGAGGGACCACCCTCTGCGCACCCCCTGTGGATGTCGAGAAAGTGCCACTCCTGCCACGATCTGCGAGCGTGTCACGGATAGAGGCCGCGCTGAGGGACCACCACCCTCTGCGCACCCCCTGTGGTGTCGAGAAAGTGCCACTCCTGCCACGATCTGCGAGCGTGCCACGGATAGAGGCCGCGCTGAGGGACCACCACCCTCTGCGCACCCCCTGTGGTGTCGAGAAAGTGCCACTCCTGCCACCATCTGCGAGCGTGCCACGGATAGAGGCCGCGCTGAGGGACCACCCTCTGCGCACCCCCTGTGGCGTCGAGAAAGTGCAACTCCTGCCACGCCCTGCCAGCGGTCACGGATAGAGGCCGCGCTGAGGGACCACCCTCTGCGCACCCCCTGGTGTCGAGAAAATGCCACTCCTGCCACGCCCTGCCAGCGTGTCACGGATAGAGGCCGCGCTGAGGGACCACCACCCTCTGCGCACCCCCTGTGGTGTCGAGAAAGTGCCACTCCTGCCACGATCTGCGTGTCACGGATCTGCGGGCGTGTCACGGATAGAGGCCGCGCTGAGGGACCACCCTCTGCCACGCCCTGCCAGCGTGTCACGGATCTGAGGGACCACCAAGTCGAGAAAGTGCCACGCCTGCCACGATCTGCGGGCGTGTCACGGATAGAGGCCGCGCTGAGGGACCACCCTCTGCGCACCCCCTGTGGTGTCGAGAAAGTGCCACTCCAGCCACGATCTGCGAGCGTGTCACGGAGAAAGGCCGCGCTGAGGGACCACCACCCTCTGCGCACCCCCTGTGGTGTCGAGAAAACGCCACTCCTGCCACGCCCTGCCAGCGTGTCACGGATAGAGGCCGCGCTGAGGGACCACCCTCTGCGCACCCCCTGCGGTGTCGAGAAAGTGCCACTCCTGCCACGCCCTGCCAGCGTGTCACGGATAGAGGCCGCGCTGAGGGACCACTCTCTGCGCACCCCCACTGATGACGAGAAAATGCCACTCCAGCCACGCCCTGCCAGCGTGTCACGGATAGAGGCCGCGCTGAGGGACCACCACCCTCTGCGCACCCCCTGTGGTGTCGAGAAAGTGCCACTCCAGCCACGCCCTGCCAGCGTGTCACGGATAGAGGCCGCGCTGAGGGACCACACGGACGGATAGAGGCCGCGCTGAGGGACCACCCTCTGCGCACCCCCTGTGGTGTCGAGAAAGTGCCACTCCTGCCACGCCCTGCCGCGTGTCACGGATAGAGGCCGCGCTGAGGGACCACCCGCTGCGCACCCCCTGTGGTGTCGAGAAAGTGCCACTCCTGCCACGATCTGCGAGCGTGTCACGGATAGAGGCCGCGCTGAGGGACACACCCTCTGCGCACCCCCTGTGGTGTCGAGAAAGTGCCACTCCTGCCACGATCTGCGAGCGTGCCACGGATAGAGGCCGCGCTGAGGGACCACCCTCTGCGCACCCCCTGTGGTGTCGAGAAAGTGCCACTCCTGCCACGATCTGAGAGCGTGTCACGGATAGAGGCCGCGCTGAGGGACCACCCTCTGCGCACCACCTGTGGTGTCGAGAAAGTGCCACTCCTGCCACGCCCTGAGAGCGTGCCACGGATAGAGGCCGCGCTGAGGGACCACCCTCTGCGCCCCCCCTTTTGGTGTCGAGAAAGTGCCACTCCTGCCACGCCCTGCCAGCGTGTCACGGATAGAGGCCGCGCTGAGGGACCACCCTCTGCGCACCACCTGTGGTGTCGAGAAAGTGCCACTCCTGCCACGATCTGCGAGCGTGTCACGGATAGAGGCCGCGCTGAGGGACCACCCTCTGAGCACGCCCATGTGGCGTGCAGAGCGTGCCACTCCTGCCACGCCCTGCCAGCGTGTCACGGATAAAGGCCGCGCTGAGGGACCACCACCCTCTGCGCACCCCCTGTGGTGTCGAGAAAGTGCCACTCCAGCCACGCCCTGCCAGCGTGTCACGGATAGAGGCCGCGCTGAGGGACCACCCTCTGCGCCCCCCCTGTGGTGTCGAGAAAGTGCCACTCCTGCCACGCCCTGCCAGCGTGTCACGGATAGAGGCCGCGCTGAGGGACCACCCTCTGCGCACCCCCTGTGGTGTCGAGAAAGTGCCACTCCTGCCACGATCTGAGAGCGTGTCACGGATAGAGGCCGCGCTGAGGGACCACCCTCTGCGCACCCCCTGTGGTGTCGAGAAAGTGCCACTCCTGCCACGCCCTGCGAGCGTGTCACGGATAGAGGCCGCGCTGAGGGACCACTCTCTGCGCATCCCAACTGGTGTCGAGAAAGTGCCGTTCCTGCCACGCCCTGCCAGCGTGTCACGGATAGAGGCCGCGCTGAGGGACCACCCTCTGCGCACCCCCATGTGGTGCCGAGAAAGTGCCACGCCTCCCACGCTCTCCGACCCTGGCACGCATAGAGACCGCGCTGAGAGACCACCCCTTGCGTACCCCCTATGGTGTCGAGAAAGTGCCACGCCTGCCATGCCTTGCGTGTTTTTTTTTTTTTTGTGTGTGTGTGTGTGGGTGCTATGCTGTGCTGTGCTGTGCTGTGCTGTACTGTGCTGTGCTGCGGTGAGCTGTGCTGTGCTGTGCTGTGCTGTGCGCTGTGTGCTGTGTGCTGAGCTGTGCTGTGCTGTGCTGTGTTGTGCTGTGCTGAGCTGAGCTGTGCCGTGCTGTGTTGTGCTGTGCTGTGGGTGAGGGAGGAAGGAGGAGAAAGGGGGAGGAGGGGAGGAGGTGAGACGCGGGTGCGGCGCGGCAGTGAAGAAAACCAGAACCCCACCAAGCATGTGGGGAAAACAAATCGTGCTACTCTGGGCAATTTGGCAATGTGGTTCATGTCCGGCGGCCCGAAACGTTCTTGATACCGAAAGCCGTGTCTAAATCTCAACCGAGCTTGTTTACGATTCTGGTTCCGCTGGCCTGGGTTCTGGTCCCAATCCTCCGCCCTCCGCTCACTCCCGTCCTGAGCATCCCCCCCTCCTCCTCCTCCTCCTCCTCCTCCTCCTCCTCCTCCTCCTCCTCCTCCTCCTCCTCCCCCTCCTCCTCCTCCTCCCCCTCCGCCGTGATCAAACCTGCGCAGCGCCTGGATCTGGATCTGAGGACGCGGAAGGCGCGCCGAGGCGCAACTGCGGTTCCGCGGCGGCGGCGAGGGGGCACCGCTCGCCCCCCCAGAACGTGAGAGGGAGGAGAGCTCCGCCGGGGCCTCCCGCGCCCGCCACGAGGCCGGCCTCTCCGGGCGAGGCCCGGCGGCGCGCACGAGGGGGTGTAGAGGGCGTGGGGGGAACGGCTTCCTGGAAGCAGGCTGCCTCTTAGAGAGGGCGCCGGCTGGCTTCTCGGCGGAGGCGCCGGCCCGCGCCCCCTCTCGGAAGCCAGAGTGCTTCTGAGGAGCCCTCCCCCCTCCCCCTATGTACATCCCCCCCCTGCGCGTGGCCGAGAGGCAACCACAAAAAAACCTCGGGACGGCCGTTTGCGCGTCGCTCTCGGCACGCCTGGAGGCCGCCCCCCGGCCCCGGGGCCACAAGGGACAGCCGTAGAACTCGGGAGGGAGCTTCTCCCCCGGGGCAGGGGTCGAAGCCGCGGCCGGCCGCCGGCGCGAGACAAGGATCCGACGTCGGAGAGGCAGGGCTCCCACCTCGAGTCGTTCTCTGAGGAACACAGGACAGGTCGTCTGCCGAGGG